GCCGTCGTCGTCACAGGCGTCGGTTGTCTCGGCAAGCGAGATCTCGGCGCTGGACGAGCTCCTTGGCGCGTCGCTGCGGTCCGTCGACTCGTCGGCTCGTCTGTTACAGACTAAAGGATCGTTTGTGAACCTGCACCCGTTCAACACCCCGACGCCACCTGTCGCAGAGACCGACCGCGAAAGTCTCAACAGCCTCGACGATCGGTCATCGTCTGGCTCAGAGGTCTACGTGCTCGACGGCGAAAACGGGTTTGACATCAGCGTCAAGCGACCGGCGTCTCCGCCATCGGCTGGCGACGTCCCCGTGCAGCCCCAACCCGAGCCGCTGGGCTTTGTGGTTTTCGATGGCACCAAGAAGCAGCCGTCCGAGCCGGCCCTTGTCTTTGATATGATCAAGCTCCAGATGTAATACCCACTCACTGTTGCCATCGATGGAAGGTGGCTGGTACCACCGGTGAAGCCGAACGACCGGTATTATTTGAAGTAATAGAAGTTAAACTGTCGTCGTATGGAGGCAAATCATGTCCTCACTCTTCGCCGAGTACCGCTTGCTTGAGAGCGCGTCACCATAGTCGATGAGAATCGGGTCTTCCGACAAGTGCTTCTCGAGCTGGCGCGCGACGGCGCCGCGGCTCGAGAGACTCGGAAATGCGTCGTCCGGCGCTAGGGGCGAGACGCTCAAATCGATTTGCGAGAGGCGGAGACCGCCGTCGTCTTCGTCGTTGCTTTGCGACGCTGTCATAAGGAGCTCTTCCAGCAGGTCGTCTTCAATGAGCTTGATCCGAGGCTTGATGTTTGGTGGCGACGCACGTCGCCGCATGCGTTCCGCGCGATCCAGAGGCTTGTACCCGACGCTGCTATCACCGCCCATCTCGGCAATGGGTTGGCAAGGACGACGGCTGGGCGTACCGGCGTGCAGTGGTGTGCCGCACTCCGAGTCGGAAAAGTCAAAGTACGAGCTGCTTCCGCGCTGGAGACGACTGCTTGACGCCGACGACGACAGTGGCGCCGTGGTGATGCTCCAGACGCGCCGCCGGGAGGACGGCGTCGGGTCGGACACGGCCATGTCCAGGGGTGCGCTGTGGCTGCGCGCCGTACCCCGGTGCACAAGTGTGTGGCTCTCGAACGCGCAGCGGGTGCAGCTGCGCACGGTTGCGTGCCGCACGACGTCGCCGTTGGCGAGCATCGGGTAGTCAAGGTCCATGGCGCACGAGCACGTGCCGCAGACCGCGTGACCGCAAAGGCGGCAGTGATGCCGCCGCCGAAAGAGACGAAACGTGACGGCGCATTGGGCACAGGCGCGCGAGTGCGCCCACTCTTCCCGGGGCACGAGTTGGATCGTGCCACGACGGGCGACTCGGCTGAGCTCGGTCGTTGCGCCCGACACAAGACCTTGCAGCCATCGCTCGACACTGTTCGTGGTCGTACCAGCGAGCGAGAGAACCATGGTGACGCGCACGACGTGTTCGTTGAGTCCACGATCGCTCACCGCTGCCTCGACATAGACACCCGACGAGCGGAGGTCGAGGCGCGGTGTCGGGTGGCGCGACGGCACAGGCTCAAGCGACCGCAGGAGCGTCGTCGACTCCCACACGTGGCTGCCAGCGATGACGGCGGGCGAGAATGTCGGAGTCGCCAAGAGCTCCATCGCGTCAGTGGCATCCGGCTCGTAGTATTGCGTATGGGACGCGAGCACAGCGTCGCACTCGGCCATGTCGCCCATGTTTTGGCCGCCGAGTAGCGCCAACCAGTGCACGTGAACCCCGTCGCTCTCTTCCGCGGGCTTGGAAGACGCGTGCAGCGTCATGCCGTCAGCAAACGCCTTTCCAAACAGCATGCGCATCGTTTTGGCCAATGCCGGCGTCGAGTCGACGGCTAGCGCCGCGAGCACGTCGTGGACCGTCCCAGGCATCAGCGTCACGGCCTTGGCGACATAACGTCCGCGAACGCGGCCGTCGTAGAGCTGGATGCGCCGGTCGTCGCCGAGGTACGTCAACGCGCTCGTAATCTTGGGCGACGTGCAGAACGCGACAAAGGTAGCGCTGGTTTCCCGCGCGGTCGAGACGAGGCTACTGCGCACTGTGGGATCCATCGGCGCCTTCTCGAGCAGCTGCAGGCGATGGGCAAACGCAGCGTTGCGCGTCGATGTGGACGACGTCTTGGGCCGCCGCTTGAAAAAATCCTACGCAAGCAACATAGTTGACATCCATCCTGATGCATCCTGATGCATCCTGGACGCCGCCTCCCTTTCGAAATGACCTTGGAGCGCGCAGCCGAGACGCTTCGCGTAGTAACGCTGATGTCGAGTCCCGCAGACGGGCCACCACGTGGCACCGGCGAACCCAGCTGCTGCGCCGCATTGCGAGACAGCGCGCTTTCGTGTCAAGATTGGTTAGAAAAGATATGCTTGCTAAAAATGGCGGGCTTTAAAAGCATGCGCTTGGTGGCGCCGGCTTGGGAGGAACCAACGATGCATCGGCATCTACAATGGTCTTCAGATGCTCTCGCACACGTGTGCCTCAGTTCCCCGTCTCGCTGGCCATCGTAAAAGCGAGCCTGATATGTTGGCAATGTATTAAATAAAATACTGCCAGAATTTCACACGTGGGATGCTATCACGACCAAGGGTGACTAACGCGGTACCGAAGCTGGCTCTGGGCACGACGACGACGCATCGCCCAGACGTCACGCCGCAGAGCACGCGGGACACTACCATGCATGGACGGTGCATCGAGATGCGATGAGATGCACACTGGTGTATCCGTCAGTCAGAAGTTAGCAAGCTCGGTTTTCAACCGGCGCTCGAGATATCGAGAGAACTGCATGCAGATTGGACTGCGTCGTAATTCTACACGAGTGGTTGTAGCCTCGAAGACAATACAGTGCACGCCAAGACCTCCAAATGAAGTGGTATTCTCTGTCGTCGTCTACGGACCTGGTCCGCTGTCTTTACAACACCTACAATTGAGGTGGGCGGCCACCCATGCCGCGATCAATGCCAGACAAACGGGAGGTCAACGAGAAGGGATGAACAAGGCCACCCGGAAATACAGCAATTGGGAAGGGCGTGCTGTAGCTCTACTCGTATACCGTGTCCTCCAAAACGAGTCGAACGTTGCGGTCTCTCTGTTTGTTCGTCCAATTTGCCAATAACTTACTTACAAGGATTTCGATTGGCTCGTACCGTAGCATAATCGTACTTTGCGGGTGGTGTACGATAAAGTTCGATTCACCATCACTCTTTGCGCGTGTTGACGTTGAAGCGACGACCAGGCCGGAGCGGACAACACGAGAGAATTATAGCAGGCTACCGGTACCAAAGCAATGCAAGTTGGATCGAATTGCCTCTACTACTGCCTAGGCTTATGCTTTGGTGTGGACTTCTTAAATGGTCAAGGTATATATAAACATCAACGAGCGAGAGTTGTCGGAGCAGCAGCTTCCGATGATCGGGCTTCTCCAGCAATCCATCTTTGCGAGATTGCGGAGCGCGCCTCCTGGTGGACTATCCACGCACCCACATGGTCAATGTTGGCAGTCGTTTTTCTCGCACAAGTCTCACTTTGCGTCATAGCAATACGAGGCAGCTGCGGTGAGTCAGCTTGGCAAGTTCATGGCGGTTCCCGGGCTTCATCTCGCTCGAAAGGAGGTTGACCCCGCCTATTGTTGCATGGCGCGTTTCCGAGAACACGTAGCCCGATGAGCTGCCTCGGATGGGTGCGAAGACAATGGTCCGCGATGCCAGCCGTGCACCAGCGGTGTGCTTACTTGAAGTAGTACCTCGTCGAGACCTGCCACTTCAACGCGGCTTTGTCGAGCTCCTTTCGCGAATCGATCGGCGTTCCTGGTCTGCTTCGTTGCTTGGCGCGCGAAATATTGATCCGTCGCTTGGTCGTTCACAGGTGCACGTACCCGTCACCATACTACCGGTATTAGACGCCTCTCGATCAACGTCGCTGACGGTTGCGTCGTCTTCGCGAAGTCGTCGAGGATGTATCTTCCCACGCAATTGCCGCTGTTCGCGCGCAGCTGTGTCGACCGTAATTTTGATTCCCAGTTTCCCACCGAGGGGTGTGACCCACTTCGAGCCAATCACAGGTGACGTTTGACGTGAAAAGGCGTGAATTTTCAGCGATCAAGGCCGTGGGACCGACTTCTCGATCAAAGTATTCGCTTGGGCAGCGCGATGCACCACCGCAAGCGACGACAACGTTTGTCGGTGTGCTATTTCCTGCGACCAAGGGACGGCTTGAACCAGCCCCGCGAGATTGCACTTTCTAAAAGTTGCGTGTTCGCCGCAACCACCTGGCCGTCGTATGACGTTCAGTATGCTTGACGTACCACGGCCGTTCGTTGAAGCTGCTTTTTGGCTGATTACGGAGGCTCATTGCTCATCACTCCACCTGCAACTCAAAGGATGCTCGTGTCGGCGCAAGTTTCTTCGACGCAGACGTGGAGCTTCCAGGACCTGCGTGGCCAGGTCGATGCCAAAGACTCGGACGACCACAAGCTCTTTAAGCGCAGCGTGCGACGGCTCTCGAAGGACCCAGTCCACCTCGACGAAGAGCTCGTGCTGGGCGCAGAGCGTCGCAGCCAGGACCTCTTGGCCGCCAACACGACGCATCTCGACACGACGCTCGTGTACACGCATGAAGCGCGCGGCATCAAGATTTACGAACGCCGGACCAACGACGCGGTGCTTCTGCACGGCGCGACGTCCGTCTCGGGCTCGGTCGACAGCATCATGGACCTCTTTGACATGGGCACGACGGACGCGTTCGAAGCCACGATGCGCCAAGTGCTGCCAGGGCTTTTCTACGAAGGTGCTACGATTGGCGTCGCCGGCGCCACAAACGTCCACTGGATGTCGCTTTACGGCGAGCAGACATCGGACACGGTCCGGCACGACATGGTGTTTCTGTCGTGCGCCACCCGCTACGAGACGCTGCGAGGCGCCGCCGTTCCGACGAGCGACGTCGTCTCCGCCGTGACACACGGCTCGCTCGTATGGCACTCGGTGCCGTCCAAGAACTTTTTGCCCTTCAAGGCTCGCCACACCCAGTGCTATCGGCGGTACATCTCGCGCTCTGGTTTCACGGTCGAAAGCTCCGACCTCGACGAAAACGTCTGCCGCGTCACGTTCACGCTTGAGCTCACACAGGTAGACCCGAGCAACGTGCCGCTGCGGCACTGGATGGAGCACGCAGTCGTGACGGCGCTCTCGAACCTCACAACGCAGTGCCGGTCTGTGAACCTCAAGCTCGTGCCGCGGTCGCGCTGGACCCAAGAGAGCAAGTGCCACCTCTGCAAGAAAGGTTTCAACCTCTTCCACTTGCTTCGTCGCCGACACCATTGCCGACTCTGTGGCCACTCGATTTGCAACGAGTGCTCGACGTTCGTGACAATCGAGTCGGAGGGCATGGCGCAAAAGTCGACGCGTCTCGACTCGACGCGCAGCTGCCTTCTCTGCGCCTTCACCGAGACGCCCAAGCCACACAAAGAGCACGCTGCCATTGTCGAGGACCGCGGGAGCCTGGCGACGACGAGTCGCAGT